ATTCACCCTCGAGAGGTAGCTAAGATTGAAAGTTGAAAGTTGGTAAATAATGCCGAGTCAGTAATTCATTGATGAAGCCTGGATTTCGGAGTATGCTCTTCTCTCTAGTATTCCAGACAATCACTATCGACCTTTCCTTGTATACGCGTATAAGAGGTGAACTTGTAGACTTCTGCGTAGATAGTTGCAATAATTTCGACCCCAGTATGTGGAGCAAGGAGCCACAGTTTTGCAGTGTCATCGAAACTTCGCGCGGATTGATCACTTACTACACGTTGGATAGGTCGGCTTACTGATCTTATTGTAGCGATTAGCCTTTTTCCTATCATATTAACACAGAATCTAATGGAGCGAAATAAACTCCCACCTACTGTGCCTCGATAACGCCTTTTATGCCTACGCCGTTTTGAACTTACCGCCTTGCTTTTGTTTAAATCGCCCCATTTTATGGCATGAATCAGGTGTCGGGACGCATTGACACATCATTACCCTGTGCTTATTTTCTGCTAATTAATTAGCCCCGATGAGAGCCTATTGTTGATTTGTTAATGCGCAAACACTTGCTTCTGTTTTAAAATAAGAAAAAAAAAACATCTCTAAATATTTTGTGCCTTTTTTTCGCATTAAGTCGCAAAACCGGCTTTCCAATCTGTTGCGAACTGGCAGTCGTCGTCGTGTCGACGGCTCTGCAGGTCTCGCCTCCTGCACTGACTTTCAGCGGGACTATCTATCTTCCGATCTAGACCGTTCCGAGGGAACCTCTGAGTCCTCCCTTACATGCCTCGCCACTCCCGCTCTTCTCATAGCAGACATCCAGGAGCTCGCTCGCTCCCTTCTTGTGCGTTTTCATAGTCCTCCTTGTCGACATTCTAAAAGGGCGGAGGGTTTTTGAGGTTTTGCATCCATCAGAAGAACTGATCCTTCTGAATGGAGAACAGAACACGTTTATTTGTACAGACGTCCATATCGTCTCATTTTTCCAGGCAGATTTAAGATGACTTCATGTCTGGCAACTTATATGTTTGGTGTTATGATTGTTTACACTTTCGTTTAATCGGTTTTAATTGAATAGGTTGACTGCTGATTGCACTGGTTTATTTCAGACCAATCATGTCGTCTCGATTTTTGTAGCTATTAATCCATTTTCTTTCTCCACTATGCAGGAGAACTATGATGGACAGTACATACGCTGTTTGGAACTGGAAAAGGATAACCTTCGTCTCAAAACCGAAGTTGATTTAACCGGAGGAGTAAGCTGTCACTTCCCATTCCAAGTTTTAGTGATTTACACTGAAAGTCACCTATGGGATGAGATTGCATTATACCCGACTAAAACTGTTTTGTCACACAAATTGAGTGGGTGGTATTACTTCACCGACCTTATTGTTTCCATTCCGCAAATTGTTAGTCTTGGTTTTAGCAAATTTCAATCAATACCAAACGCGAGTTGGAATGCTTGAGATCCCTTCAAAAGAAGACTGAGGATGAACAGAATGCATGGAACTCCCATAAACAGAGAGAGGAGGCAAGGCTTGAACGAGAGGACCAGAAATTGAAGAACCTCGCCAAAGATCTTGCGGAAAAGCAAAAGCAATATGAGGAGGATCGTAGAACTTTGCAGGAGCTTATTGACCTGCATGCTCGTCGTGGTATCGACGTGAGTCGGCTGAGAGGGCACGGTAAGTTTATTGTTTAATCTTTGCACTAAACAACTGCTGCGCCATCAAGTTTCATGATCAATTTTGTTTGTTGGCTCAGGATCGACCACAACTTTGTACACATCACCTCAGTTGGAGTTGGACAGGAGTCCAAACTCCTGCCTCTCCCACAACCCGTCCTCTCGAAGCGAAGGAGATGCGGTAGGTATTTTTACTTGTTCCTGAATGCAATGAGGTACTTCTTAATTTGA